CTAGTTTGGTGTCTATGAGTTTGGAAGCTTTCTGTTGTTTCTGATATCCAGCTTTAGTCCATAGTGGCCAGATAGGATGTATCTGTTACACCTTGTTTTGTGTTCGAGTATGTGTTTGCTATGTGTTCAATTTTGTGGTCAATTTTGGAGAAAGTTCCATGAGGTCCTGAAAAGAAAGTATATTCTTTTGTTTGGGGGTGAATGTTCTGCACTATTTGTTAGGTCTATTTGGTTTGTAATGTCAGTCAGCTCCAACATTTTTCCATTTAGTTTTTGTCTGGATTCTGGATGACCTGTCTATTGGCAAGAGTGTAGTAGTGCAGTTTCTCACTATTAGTGTGCGAGGGTCAATATGTGATTTAAGCTATAGTAGTGTTCCTTTTACAAACTTGGGTGCCTATGTTTGGTGCATAGATGTTAAGAATTGCAAAATCATCTTGGTGGATTTTTCTTTTGATGAGTATGTAGTGTCCTTTCCTATCTCTTGTGATTAGTTTTGATTTGAAGTCTAGTTTGTGAGATATTAATATTAAAATGGCTACATCAGTTTGCTTTTTGGCCCATTTGCATTGAATATCTTTTTTCATCCTTTTATTCTGTGGCAGTGTCTATCATTTGATGTTAAGGTGTGTTTCTTAGGTGCAGGAAAAGAATGGATCCTGTTTTGGAATACAGTCTCTTAGTCTGTGTTTTTTCATTGGGGCATTGAGAGAATTAATGTTGAGAGATATCATTGAGCAGTGTTTGTTGATTCCTGTTATTTTGCTGTTTTGGTCTCTCTCTCTCTCTCTCTCTCTCTCTCTCTCTCTCTCTCTCTCTCTTTCTCTCTCTGTACATGTGTGCATGTTTCCCCTCTTTTGATTTGCTGGTTTGGGATTATTTATTCCTTGTGCTTTTGGGGGCATGATTAACCTGTTCTGTGGTTTCCTTCTTTAGGGAAATTTTCTTTATGACTTTTTTTTTGAAAATATTTTCTGTGTTTTGATTGAAGTTTTGTCTCCTTCCCCTATTCCAATTATCCTTAGATTTGGCCTTTTCATAGTGTCCCAGATTTCATGGATATTTTTCTGCCAGTATTTTTTTTTAGATTTATAATTTTTCTTTGGCCGAGGTACCCATTTCTTCTACTGTTGTGTCTTCAATGCCTGAGATTCTCTCTTCCATCTCTTGTATTCTATTGGCCAGGCTTGCCTCTGAGGTTCCTGTTTGAGTTACTAAATTTTTTATTTCCCAGTTTCTCTCATTTTTTGGGTTTTCTTCTTCATTGATCCTACTTCTACTTTTAGGTATTGAATAGTTTTATTCATTTCCTTCTACTATTGTGTTTTCATAGATTTCTTTAAGATATTTATTATTTAATTTTTGAGAGTTCTATCATATTCATAAAAGGTATTTTAAAGTCTTGTCTGTCAGCAGTGTTGCAATTCTCAGGACCTACTATGGTAGGGTTGTTGGGTTCTAGTGGAGACATATTGACCTGGCTGTCATTGATTGTGTTTTTATGCTGTCATGTAGGCATCTGGTTTGGGGAAGATTGTGAATCTAGGTGCTGATTCTGGTCTTATCCTTGTTAGGTGGGTGTTTTATTCCTTGGTTTCTGTTGCCATCTTTAGTCTTAGAAGGGTGTGGTGTTTACTAGAGAATTTTCTGAGTTCCTGCTAGATGTGGTCACTGTGGGTTCCAGGTAAAATGTGTTTCTAGGCATTGGGAGCTGACTCATAGAAATAAGGATGGGGCCCACAGAAGGGAGGAAAGCAGGGTGTTCTGTGGTTGGTTGTTTTTACTCTTTTTTGGGGGGCTACCGCCCAGCTCCCAAATAAATTCACACAGAGAGACTTATTATTACTTATGAATGCCTGGCCTTAGCTTGGCTTAGTTTCTAGGCAGCTTTTCTTAATTTAAATTATCCCATCTGTCTTTTGCCTCTGGGCTTTTCCTATTCTCTTACTTCTGTAAATCTTGCTCTTACTCCATGGCTTGATGTGTAGATGGATGGCTGGGTGGCTGACCCCTGAAGTCCTCCTCCTTCTCTGGTTCCTAGACCTTCCACCTCAGTTTTCTCCTTCTATATATACTCTGCCTGCCAGCCCTGCCTGTCCTTTCTCCTCTCTTGCCATTGGCTGTTCAGTTCTTTATTAGACCATCAGGTGTGTTAGACAAGCACAGTAACATAGCTTCACAGAGTTAAACAAATGCAACACAAACAAAAGTAACACACCTTAAAATAATATTCTACTACAGTGTTCTACCAGGATCTGCTTTAGTCCCCTGGTAATGGGAGCGGAGAGTCAGGAGAGGCTACAATAGGTAATCTAAGGAGCTGGGCATGAGACTGTGGGTTTGGATATGCAGAAGATGAGGGAGAGTCAAGATCTAAAACTTGCCTACCTGTTTTGATGGCCTATTTGCTTCTCTGGCAGGCTTGGGTGGCAGGTTCCCAGGGAATTCCTGCTGGAATTGGAGGCTGGGATAAAGTAATGAGTAGGGGGAAGGAAGTTTAGAGGAGAAGATCTGCATGATTCACTGAAGATGGGAGGAGGGACTTTGGCAGAAAGTGTTATGCTACAGATCTGGGAATGAGACTTGGGGGTTCTATTTGGAGGAGAAGAGTAGGAGGTGAATGAAGATCTGCAGTTAGCCTACCTGTTTCCCTGAGTGGAGTGGCCATCAGGGTCCAAGGGAATGCCTGCTGGAACTGGGGGCTGGGATACTGGGATGAGTTAGGGGAAGAAAATTTGGAGGTGATATCTGTATGACACACTAGAGATGGGGACAGGGGGAAGGGAGGCTGCAGAGGGGGTCTGCTATACAACTGGAAATAAGACTGTGGGAATGGATTTAGAAGAGAGGAGGAAAAGGTGAATATCTAGAGTTAGCCAACCTACTTCCCTGTCCATATTGATTTTTTAATAGTGGTTATATTGAATGCATTTTGCCATATCAGGTACTTTTTATTTTATACTTTCTAAGTATCAGGTAAGGTACATGTTTCTATGTTCAAGTTTTTCTAAGATTTTGTGTGGGCACCCCTGTGCATATTTTCACAAGCTCACCCGTGTGCCTGTGTAAATGTACATGTATGACATATGTACAGAAGCCTATGAAGCTCAGAAGATGGCATCAGATCCAATCGAACTGGAATTACAGGGGTTGTAAGCTACACCAGGTGCTGAGAATGGAATCCAGGTCTTCCCAAAGAACAGCAAGAACTCTTGCCTGCCGTTCCATCTCTACAGCCATGTGGTTTTCAAATGGTTGAAAACTTTGAAGTTCAAGGCCCAGTGGGTAGAACTCTGGGACATAATTCATTAAGGGAATGCATGCAAGGACTTTTCTGCCAGGGCATTCCATTCAACCCCTTGAAATAGGCAGGAGTTATTTTCTATAGTATTTTGTAATGTAGTCTATTTTTTGGATGTCTCCCAATCCTATATTTTTTCACAAAATTATTCTGTTGACAAGACATAGATGAAATTCTAAGTGCAGAGATAGAGAGGAAGGTCATGTATGTAAAGCGTTCACAGAAATATTTGCGGGAGAAACATTGCGCAGAAAAATTACTTTGTGGCCAGACTTGGTTGCAGTGTCCCTTCTTGGGTCACATCTCTGGCATTTTGATGCCTTTGACGTAGCCTTAATTTGTAACCAGCTCAACCTTTTATCCCTTATGACTTCCTTTTAGAATACAATTTTGATTCTCTGCTATGGAGTAATTTACTGCTAATAAACTGGGCTTGACATCAAGCCCAGAATTGATCACCAAGCACCATGTCAAATGAGGGATTGCCTGAACACTAGTACAGTTTGGTCCTTATTGGACCATTAACACTACACAGAGGTGTTTTATTGTAATCAATGTACAGATAAAATTAGCACTCATATGTGCATATTTTATCTGTATCATTGTTTTTGATATGTCTGTTGTTAAATTTTATACAAAGCATGTTTTTACATATACATGTTATTGTTGAAAGTTAATATATATTCTGTAGTAAATAATGTGTTTTACTCCTATTATGCCTTATTAGGGGGGCTTTGTTATCAAATGCTGAAGTATAGTTTGTACATAAAAGAAGTGGTTCCAATTCCTCATGACAGAAAGAGGTAGGGCAGTTCACAGAATCAGTGGAGAGAGAAATGCATCTGCAGTAAACGCTGTTTACCCTAATGATCATTGAGTTTTCAGGAATGTGTTTGCACACATCTATGGTGCTAGTATACTAAGGGTGCTACTGAAATTCCAGAGTTGTATGTGTTCACAGGGAAGAATCACGAAGAAAGGCTGCTCTGTTGGCCAAATGTACAGTCTTGAAAGGACATCTGATTTCATCCAATCACAATAAAGGCACAGAAAAAAAGTTGAAAGGTGAACAAAACCTCTGAGTTATGTATGTTATGTATAGCAGGTCTCAATAATCCTGTACTTATCCTTAGTTGGAGAGTCTGTGCAGCCTTCCTACCAAGGATTGTTCATTCTGCCAGTGGATTGTTTGTGGTTATCTGTGCAGAGCATATGATATATAGGAGCATTAAATGTGGAATATTCTTCCTGTAAATGAGACTCCTTGTAACTTTGGCAACAGAGGCAGAGCTCTTTAACTGCCAACTATCATAAACCCTGGAGGTTTAAGATAGCTTTTCACTGCTCCTCTTCCTCACTAGGATTCAAGTTTGTTTTGTTAGAGACTTTGTGTTCAGGGGCTATATTTGTTCTGATGTGGAATTCAGAGTCAAATTGTGGATGCAAGTGAAAAATCAATTGAAAATAATGAGTGAAAACTATTTATTTGATTTACTAGTATAATTATTTTAACTAACTGATGAAGGTCCTCTTAAAATATGTAGATATTGTGTTGGGGCAAATAGAGGGAAGTAAAACAGATTCTAAAATGAACTGGATAAAGAATTTCAAGATTAAAGTATATATATATATATGTATATATACATATGTATGTATGTATGTATGTATGTATGTATGTTTGTATGTGTGTGTGGTGGGTTGTAGGAAATTGTCAGCTTTCAAAGGATCTTAATTGAAGTAATCAGGAATACCGCAGGGAACTTAGTAGGCCAGTCTCAGAGTCAGCCAGCAGTTTCCTTTAGCTTCTGTGTTCTTTCATTCTCAAATGGATCCTAGTGGAGATTCCAAAACTTCAGTAGGTACACAGTATCCCCTAAAAGAGTAGAAACTTGGGGAATTCAATGTTCCTTGTTTTGTCCTTCCACTGTGTCCTTGCCGGTGCCTGTCCGAGTCAGTCACAGTTTCCGAGGATTCAGAGTTCTGCCAATGACTCGCCTCAGTGCAGTCTTCACCTCATTGTTCCTTAAGCTGTAGATGATGGGGTTCAACATGGGCGTGATGACTGTATAGGAGAGCGACACCATTTTCTTGTGCTCAGGGGAGGTGTTGGAGCGTGGCCTGAAGTACATGAGGATGGCAGTGCTGTAGAAGAGGGAGACAACCAGGAGATGGGAGGAGCAAGTGGAGAAGGCCTTGTGTTTCCCCTCAGTTGAAGGCATCCTGAAGATGGTGGAGAGGATGCGGACATAGGAACCCAGGATCAATAAGAAAGGAAAGAGGATGAATAGGACAGTAGCTGTTAGAGCCTCCAGTTCAAATAGTGAAGTATCAGCACAAACCAGGGCTATGACAGGGGGGCTGTCGCAGAAGAAGTGGTTCACCCTGTTGGGGCCACAAAAAGGGAAACTGAAAATCCACGTAGTTTGCACAGTGGCCACTGGGAACCCTGCGAACCAAGAGGCAGCTGCCAGCTGGGCGCAGGACTTGCGGCTCATAATTACTGGGTAGCGCAAGGGATCACAGATCGCCACATAGCGGTCATATGCCATTGTGGCCAGGAGGCAGCACTCAGCAGCCCCAAAGAAGAAGAAGAAATACATCTGAGTGGCACAGCCAAGGAAGGAGATGGTTTTGTCTTGGAGTATCAAAGTACTCAACATTTTGGGAACAATGACCAAGTTGAAGCCTATTTCCAGGAAAGATAAGTTTCTGAGAAAGAAGTACATAGGGCTTTGCAGGGCAGAGTCAGCTGTAGTAACCAGAATGATTAGAACATTGCCCATGAGTGTGACTAGGTAAATGATCAAAAACAAGAGAAATAATAGAGCCTGTAGCTCATAGGACAATGTTGAGAAGCTCACAAGAATAAATTCCCTAACAGTTGTCCAGTTTCCCCAGGTCATTCTTCTGCACATTGAGAAGCCAAGATTCAGGAAGGTGAGGAAAACTTCCACATATTATGTTATATGCTTATTGTACTCTAAATAAGAAACCTCATTTGGTTCCAGACTCTACATTTGTTGTGACTGTAGAATGTAAAGCATCAGTCTTCTCCAAAAATGTGTAAAATAATTTTGACTATTTGAGTTCACAGTTGTTTAAGAAGAATCCTGATTTTTTCCCATTAAGCTGAGATTCACTCTATGTATTTATACATGTCCAAGCTTTTCTCCATTCTGAAGAGAATGCCCCAAAGCACAACTCCACTTACCCTCCTACCCTAGCACTTTGAATAGTCAGTTGTGCTAAGAAAGACAGGGGAAATGTTTTTGAAGTCTGGTTGCACAATGGAAGAGGACGAGGTCTGACTGTGTATGTTTTGTATAACAAATGGCCAGAAAAGAAAAAAAAATGTTAAAGAAACAGACAGTACAATTAAATGCAAATGATTCCTGAGTAATAGTCCTACAGAGGACCTAATATCAAGATCCGTAATACTGTGAAAGATTTAATGTTATTGCAAGAAGTCCCACTTCTACATTCATCAGGACTTACAACACAGAAGTGGATGTTTATACATCTCAGGGAGGAAGAATTCTCAAGGAAGTTGTGCCTGAGCAAAGAGAACAGAATTAAGATCAGAGTCATGAGAGAATCCTGATGTGTTGAGTGTAAGCCTTTATATCATCTCTTCTTGGTTAAGTTGTGCTGGGCTCTCAAGGCACTTGATGGTCACACATTGCATGTTAACGAAGTCCACCTCAAGCATCTAGATGCCACTGATAAGACTTTCCATGAGAACGAAATAGAAGATTTCATTAACAACCAAGTCTCAAAATTGAGAACCTCAAATTATTTTTAATGATGATAATCTTAGATGAAGGAATAAGATGAAAATGTGTAACCTTGTAACCTGTTGTCCGATGCACTGTATATCCTCAGTAAAAGATAGCCATGAAGATTGTGACAATATGATGCTAACTCTGCTTTCCAGAATAAAAAGTAAATCTATCCAACTCATGGCCCTGCTGTTAAATTTCTAGGACAAAAGAAGAACAATTATTTGATTAATATAAATTACGTTCTATGTGGTAGTCATCAAAGGTCATAACTGATGACTGGAGTGAAAATCTCTGCTCTCAGATTCAGAGATCCATAGCCAAATACCAGGCCGAGCTCTAGGAGTCTAGTCGAAGAGAGAGAAGAGGGATTCTATGAGCAAGGGCATCAAGATCATGATGGAGAAACCTACAGACAACCAAACCAAACTAGTGGGAACTCATGAAATTTAGACCAACACCTGTGGAGCCTGCATGGGACTGGACTAGGCACTCCACATAGTGAGATAGTTGAGTAGCTTGATCTGCTTAAGGGACCCCCTGGCAGTGGGATCAGAATCCATCTCTAGTGCATGAGCAGGCTTTTTGGGGCCCACTACCTATGATGTAGCAACTTGCACAGCCTTGAGGCAGGGGGAGGGGCTTGGACCTGCCTCTACTAAATGTACCTCCCCATGGGAGGCCTTACCTTCTTGTAGGAGGAAATGGGGGGTGGGTTAAGAGGGGGAGGCTGGTGAGGTGGGAGGAGAGAAGAGGGGAATCTTTGATTGGTATGTAAAATGAATAAAAACTTTTTTTAATAAAAGAATATTTAGAAAAAAAGAAAATCTCTGCTCTCATAGAAACTGCCTTCTCCATAATTAGACTTATTATCAGCAAATTTTACTAATAGAATGTGTTTTATGTGATGGTGAGTAAGCACAATGCTGAAGAATAAAGTTCTGGGTGAGCAAGTTATTTGAGTATAGAGAGTGTTAGAAATGCCTTGTTGAAAAGAAGACACTCAAGTCCTGTGCAGGTTCAAGAGTAAGTGAAAGGATGAATGGAAAGGGAAATACAAAGAAGAGAATACTTAGTGTTTTTGCTGATTGATATTTGTTTAAAAATACTCAACCTCAATTTCTCTATGTGGGTCTCTGTATCTATATTCATTTCTTGTGCCTTTTCTTGTCTCCATTTTCTTCTGTTTATTGTTTTTTTCCTATTTTGATATCTTAGATTTGTTTTATCTTACTATATTTTATTATTATCATCCTTTAGAAATACTGCTTGTCTTCTTACTGCTTTTTTCTTTCTTTTTTTTTTCTGGGGGAATAGGGGTTTAGAGACAGGGTTTCTCTGTGTAACAGCTCTGGCTGTCCTGGAACTCAATTTGGAGACCAGGCTGGTCTCAAACTCTTGAAGTTTCTTTTGCCTCTGCCTCTGGAGTGCTGGGATTAAAGGCATGTGTCACCACTGCCAGGCTTGACTGTTTGTTTTCTGGTGAGAGACAGAAAGGGCGTGGATCCAGATGGGAGGGATGGTGTGTATGTGTGAAACTGGGTGGGGGTAGGTGGAGCAGAAACTGTAATCAGAATATATTGGTGAGAAAAACATCTATTTTCAATAGAAGAGAAACAGCAACAAAAAACAACATAAAGAAATCTTTGATATTTGTTTACATAGTAGAACATTTAGGAAGTCCTGACTTTAGTTTTTACAGCTTCATTAAAGATTCATTGAATCCTCTGGTAAAACAATGTTGAATAATTTAAAACTAATCCAATCAAGTGTAACCATGGCCAGTGACAGTTGGAATCACTGTAAGCACAGTTTGGTTTGGAAAATTTTTAAGGACATGTAGCAGAATGACTCCAGTTAGATACTGGAAAACAAATGACAAATGAGCAGGAAGAAAATGGTATCACAAAAGAACACTTACAAAGGTAGAGAGAATTTACATAGGACTAGTTGTGGCTCTCTGACTTTCCAGCAAGGGCAGACTACTCTCTAGGTACTGCCAGGGACTGAAAATGCTTAAGTTGAACAAGGATTTAAATGTAATGAAAGGCAAGGTCTTAGAGCTATCTTTACACAGCTTTGCTTTTCTCCTGATCTCTGAAATGCCTCCTGGGCCATCTTCCTAAGGCCTCAGGGTTGCAAAAGACACACAGACAAAACCTGATTTAGGACTTCTCATCTGCCTCCTTCCTCACAGTTGTAATTATGTACTATCCTTCATTTTTTCTCAATCTCTTGCTAATCTTCCCCTTTATGCCTGTCACTTTTCACTTCTATTTTAGATTCTCTGTTTTCCCCGCTATGCAGAGAAAGGACAGCAGAGAAATCACTGGGTAGATTTTGAATATGGCCTTCCTGTAGCTGAGGTTCTATTTGTGAGGATGTTACCAGTGCAGGAGAATGTCAAGTACACAGCTTTTGTTAATTGTCTTTGCTACTCTGTGTGTGTGTGTGTGTGTGTGTGTGAGAGAGAGAGAGAGAGAGAGAGAGAGAGAGAGAGAGAGAGAGAGAGAGAAAGACAGAGAGAGAACTATATTAGGAAGTGAAAGAAATGAGGAACTTAGTTGAGGCTGGTGGCTTAGACAGTGACTTCTCTTAGTTCAGTGTCTATTTTCAGGACTAAAACCTTGGGGATTCTGTGTTTTGTTAAAAACAAGAGAACGAGATACATTATGAGTGCTTAGCAAAATTTCCACATAACCAGTTATTTCAGTCTACAAAGTTTTTTTTTTTATTGTTAAGGACTCTGTTGTAGGTGCAGTTCAGAGTTCTGAGGTAGGATAACTTTTGAACAGCTATAAAATTAGACACTGACATAACTTCTGAGTTATGTTTTTCTGATATGCAAGACTATCATTCTACTAAATGCCCCATCTGCTTGACAGGGTGATGGTGAAGGGCCAAGTGAGAATCTGTATGCAAACAAACAGCTTGAACATTTTAAAGCACATCACACATGTCAATATTGTCTCACATAATTTCTCAGGATCTATTCTTTTTCAAGTTCTATAAAATTCCAGGTGTTTTGCATGAGACTCTGATCTGTCTTCTTGTCTCTTAGAAATTTGTCAAAAAAGAGATCTTTCTGGTGGTGATCCATCCTCTTTACAAAAGGTTTCAAGTCTATGCCACAATCCCTTGCCCTTTACTCACCTCCTATGAGTGATATCTGTCCATGTAAATTCTGGAAAAACTTCCCTCTGTAGCAGTCACTATGGAGCAGTCTCCGGCTATTTGAGAATGAGTGACTCCAGGAGAGTCCTAAATGATGGCTTTGACTGTGCCAGTCATTCCAGATAAGCACCAGGTTATTCTGAGGGAGTCATTCCAGAGACACTCTGGGCTAGCCTTATCTCCATCCCATTTGCTGGTGGACTCTGGGTTGTGCCATTGTCAAAGGTCTCCAAGATGCTTTGTTTCAGGGCTGTGCCAATCACCCCAGGTAAATCTTGTGCAGTGGCTGGGTCAGTACTTGTAAACAGGCTCTGAGCTGTGCAGTGCTCTTCACTCCAGAGATACTCTGTGCTGGGCCTATGTCTCCTACTCTAGAGGATTCCAGCCTGGGTCTCAAGACTATTTCATTCCCTGCTGTTTATTATAGACAAATGAATTTCCTCAGTGCTTCCTCTTTTTCAGGTGATGCCAATGATTTACTTCCCAACAGATATGAGTTTTGGCAACTCAATTACAAAACTTCATGAAGAACCCATGATCCTATAATTGAATGTAGGTTTTTTATTTCAGCTCCAAGTTTTCATACAGTTATGAAGCCACAAGAGAAAGGGACAAAACTCAGTGGTCTATCTATACTTCAAAGTTTATAGGCTAGAGAAATTAGAAGAGAGTACCAGTATTGTTTACATTTCCTCAATTTTGATAGTTTTCTGGGTGGTTTTAACCTGGATTGAGGAGAAGTCTTCAGGCTTGGGGACTGGAATCCATTACTCACTCTCTAACCCAGGTGTAGAATAGTAGTGAAAGGTATGAGCAGCTAGAGATGTTACTAACCTTCCAGCAAGATGAAGAAGTGAAAGTATGACTAGGAATCTCAAATTCTAACCCTGCTGGAGCAATAATTGACATTGAAAAAGGAGAAAATCTGCTGTGGATATTTTCCACCCCTA